ATTTAGAGTTTTGTAATGGGTTCATCTGCATTTTTCGTGTTAGTAGATACCAGATGACTGCTGGTAAATTATTACTCAAATTTAAGATATCATCTTGGCTTTTTGCCATCTGCATTCAATTCCTCGATACAGTCAATTATTTTTTACATTTTGGCTGTCCTAAAGCTGTCTCAGTTGGAGTGTTATAAAATAGACTTCAGTTGATTTGTCTCATTTCTGAGTTTAAGAACTTTTGTTAGAGTATCAACGTTTCAAATTCTGACATTAGTATTGTTAAGTGTAAGAAAATTACAAAGGATCACGTGTAATGTCATGTAACCAACAGCTTTTGGAGCAACCAGTAATGGGGATTGTTTGGTAAAAATGCAGAATGCACTGTGAAGCTTTTAAAATTGCTGTGACATCGTGACTTTGCACATTCACGCAGACTAAAGTATAAAATCTTGATAAAATCTGGTTTTGTGTATTTATAAGTGGGAATTTTGTTTTATTTTACGTAAATATTGATTCATGATAAACCAGATATATCAGGTTACAAATTTTTTGACGTAAATACGTCTATACGTAAGGGTCATTCGGTGTGCACAACAATGCTTTACTCCATTACCTAAGAAACTAGTTGTTATGTCATCTGTTTATTCGGCGTTGTTGTGTTTCATTTTTGCCGTCAACAACCCGCTTTTGTTATTGCAGAAAGAGCTAAGAATCGCTTGTAGAAGAATTGCGTCGTAGAGTAGATAATATTGTGCTGTTAAAAACGTTTTAGAATATCACAGGTACTTATCTTATATAAGAATTATTAAAAAATCTGTGCTCCTGCCCTCCACTCTCTCCATTTTAGTTTTGATTAAATTGGTCTTTGCGGGTGGACATCGTGGTCTCTTACAATTGAACAAAGATTGAGGTTAGGGATTCCTATTTATTATTATTTTTCATCACGTTAAGCGCCCGCCTCTCGAAAACCGTAAGAGATGGATCTGGACATATTGCGTACGAAATACGTATTACCTCTTGAGCTTTCCATATCTGTTTTCAGATTTTACATATCACAAATGGTTTAGGTTCTACAAACATTTATTTATACAAATAAAGGCGCATCGCACTTCACGCTACTACTGCGTCTGCGCATTTACGTCATACTATGTAGAGATAACAAGATGGATGACATTGAAGATAAAGGAGTCCGTAATGCAGAATATATGAGACAGTACAGAAAATGTAAAAAAAAATAATGAACCTGAAGTTAATATATAAACTGCCTTTCATTGTATTTATTCCCTAAATATAATTTAAATACAAAGACGTACGTATTTACGTCAGATTCTCCTGAACAGTGGTTCCACTGTAAATTTTTTACCTTTAAATCAAGACTTTTATACTTTGTCACTTTGTAGCCACTCAAATGATAAATATGGAACTTGGTGCTCCAGAATTACTGGGCTTCAGAATTTGATGTTTGTTTATATCACATTGTTCAAAGTAATAGGTTTAATTACCATTCTGAGCAATGTTGCATTTGCATAGTCATGTCTGTTCTAATTTGAAGATTTTGGAAATTTATTAGTACCTTATATCTTTTATATAAACTTCCTTTTTTACATATTTAATTAGCATTTAGTCTAGATTTAAAATTATTAGATATTAAACTTAGTAACAGGTATTTCTTTCCCTTTGTATCTTGTGACTTGGAAATGCCAGATCTTACAACCACGGATTGTAACGAAGACTTTCTCTGGGTACACGGATCAGCGAGGGGTGTGGAAAGTAGAAGAATACATCCAGTTGAGAAAAGTAATGTGATGACAGAAGAGAAGAGAGGTAGAGATTTCTGCATCCCAGAATCTGATGATAATAATCACCAGGAACTTGACTATGACCCTCCTCAGATAATGCAAAACCGGAACAGTATGACACCGTCGTATGAGAAAGTGACAGACAAGAGTGAAATGCAGACTTCTGGTAACGATCGATACGAGTATCACCAACTTATCAGTGAGAGTTGTGAGACTTCTCATCGGAAACCACCAAGACATGATTCAGGTTTAAAAGTACACACATCCTTTGATAACGCGTCGAGTCTTGATCGACGACGACATCATGGGCACAACAGAGCCAGTAGAGATCAGAAGGCTCGGTCATCCATCGTCCTCCAGTCCCCAAGATTTCGGTCTCCTTCGAGACATGTAAGTCCCTCAGCTGCAGAATGTGCTCACTACAGTAACACTTCATGCTGCAGTGAAGCAGCGAAGATCCTCATGAACCACGGTGTCTCTTGCTGTGATTCAGCAACAAATCTTCTGCGACCGTCAGGTTCCCGTGAATCTTCCCATCAGCATCTTTATCCTTCGCCGTGCAGTGATCCTGCTCACTGCTGTTTATCAACTTCTGTCCATGAAGATGTGATGTCATCCTCTTATGATTCTTCGTTCTCTGACAATCGCCACCATCACCACCACCATGGTGATCTCCAATGCTATGGAAGTGCTGGGAAGTTGGATTGCCATTCTCGGATGTGTCATGGCTTAGGGAGCGAGCAGTGTTGCAGCATGTTACCACAAGGGGGAGACTGCTATGGTTCCCATGGTTACCTCCCCTTGTGCAACTGTCAGGCAGAACAGCGGTGCAGAAGGAGGCACGTTTGCAAGGTCAGCTTCTGGATGGATGATAAGTGTAGTAAGGCATGATATTAACAAACTTAACATTCTTTCTGTTAAGTTATGTTTGTTTCAGTCATTTCTACGTTAACTCCTAGAAACTTTACAATTGATTCAGTGCGTATTTGTTTTTTCCAGAAAATTATAGTGTCGTGTATCCTCATTGTGTTCTTTACAGATGTTTCATAAGTTGATAGACCATAGGAAGGATCTTATTAACACGTATTCTTCCCTGTGTACGTCTGTCTAGAAAGGGGGGTTGTAGCTGATACTACAAATTAATACTTACAGTATTTGTTTATTTATGTATTTTATTCAGTATTAGAGCGTAACTTGTCAAAAGTTTTAGCCAAATCCTGAAGCAGGGGACGTGTAAATTTTGGAAGTTGAGTGTGTACTTCGTACATCATCTTCCATAACATTGAATCACAAGTCACAATGCGTACAATGAAGGTTGCACATTTAAAATCATAATAAATTGTTTGTTTTTTTAAAGTGTTAGCCAAGCTAACACGGTTAACATATATGCTGTGTTCCTGAGCAGTTTCTATTGTCCGACATAGTTTCCCAGTATTTTTATTGTAATATGTGTTTTTGTCTGGGATCAATTTAATTTTAATTAAGGAGCTCTGGTGAGACACTTCACTTAATTTCCCTTTGCTGTGTGAACGGAACGGCATTCTCCAGGTACGTAAATGCCCCCGTGTGGTTAACTGTTCCTAGTTCTCAGCATGAATTTCATTACGTGCTGAAAATAATGTACTTTTGACACTTCATTAGAAGTACAAAGGGATGGTAACTACCTCGTACTTCTGAAAGAAGGACCTGCTTGAATGTTAGACTGCTCATCTGATACGATGATACAGAACACGCTTGAAATTGGAAACTGGACTTCTGAAAGAAGGACCTGCTTGAATGGTAGACTGCTCATTTGATACGATGATACATAACACGTGTGAAATTGGAAACTGTTTTGATGACGCTGGCAAGTTTACACAGATTAGCTGAAGTTCCTGTTCTTAAAATGAGTTGAAGATGAAATAATGGAATCGCTACGTGAAAGGATATAATAGCGCACGTCTTTAATAAAGATATTTTACATGAATCTTCTACATGCAGCTCGATGAATGGAGTAAACAGTTGTAGGATGCTTTAACTTCTAACTGGCGCATGAAATTTAGTTTTAAATTTGGGTTCTAAATGTAAAGAAATGTTTAATCTGAATTAAACTAGGTGATTATGGGTTTAATGTTATTGATGTTTTGTTGTGCTGTTGGTAATTTATGCTGTTTCAAATAACGAATTGTGTACGCACTAATAAAACAAGTTTTTGTGCTCCACTGTGGAATGAATTTGACATAGTCTTATGATTATGTCCTCTTGCATGTTCAAGTCTGTTGTGATTGGTCCATGTGTGAAATATAACATTATTTGCAGCTTATATATTTAAATTTATTAGTAGGAAACACTGTTCTACACATTCGTCCATGGTTCTGTATCTTATGTGGATTTTGTGTTGTCCGATACAGCGGATCAAATGTTAATGAGTTTATTTATTTTTACATACAATTTGTTTCGTAAGTCCCAAATGTTCATATATAAATTTTTACTGATGTTGACAGTTCACAGTCTTGGAATTTGATACAACACTAGAAACTAGCGTAGATATGAACCACTTTTACAGGAAAAATAAATAATGGGTTTTGTCATTTTGAAGTTATTTTATCCTGCCGTCAGTTCAGTAACGTAAAGAAACTGAATTTATGTGCCGTACTTAGAACCAGGTCATGACTTGCAGTTGTAAAGACGATATTGTGAAATGCATGAAGAAACACAGCTTAAAATTTCTGTGATATTCCAGCTTTATTTGTACACATTTTATCAAAACTGTGTGGCGCACATTAAAGACCTGTAATGGTAAGGTTATTAGTGTAAGGAAAGCAATTGCCAGACACAGGTGATGGAATATTTAATCCTCACTTTAAACTTTATCTCAAGATTTATGGACATGAAGAAGGCAGGAGAGTATCTGTGTAGTAATATGACATTGGATTACACTTGACTGGCTGGTTTTAAATACAGTCATTATTTATGTGCTGAAACATGAGTGTTGAATATATGAATGTATTTTTCTGTCACACTTAACGTGGATGCCCCGAAGGCCCTTTCTCGTAACATTTTTTTCAAGTCGTTATGCTGCCTTGTTCAGTTATGTTTACTATTTGAATGTTGCAGCAGCCTCCGGTGAACTTTGATGTGGAGGAAAGGTTGCGACGCCTGGAGGCAGACAAGGATTCACTTCAACTTCAGGTGACTGTCCTCACTGAACAGATCGAGGTTCAGACAGACAAGATATCAGACCTTGAGAAACTGTTGGAAGAGAAGAAGATGCAACTTGCCAATGCTGAGGATGTGCTGCAGAGGGTGAGTGGCATACGTCTGGTTGTAGCGACGTCAGACGTCGTTGGGGCATTCACAACGGAGATTTCCGAAAATATGCTTCTTGGCTCCGCTATGTCTGGTCACATGTTACAACTGAAGAAGTGCTGACTTATTTCATGAAATTTTATATCTGTGAGTTTTTACTAAAATTTGTCGATGTATTTTAATTTTGGTTAAAATCAGACAACAGTAATGGACGCTAAATGTATTTTTTCTTTCATCTCGTATGTCTCTCTCTAAATATTTATTTGGAGCTAGACTTTTTTCCTAGTTATGTAAGCATTCGTGTCAACAAAATAAAACCAACATGCCGGTTCATTCTGAATTGAAATATGGTTAACGGATTTGATACATGATCTGAACAAATTGACAGTAAGAGCAGAAATACAAGGGCCACGACTAATATTATCCTTGGAGTAAATTTTGTTATAAAGAAGAGAGAGATAGGAACACTTAAGGAAAAGTTTAGTTGCTATCTAAAGTCATTAGCAGCGGTGTGTAGGGTTCATTAGTTGTATTTTGTATTAACAATAACACATGAAAGGTGGCCCAGATGTTGGAGATGTCATCTCTGAAAGTGTACGGTTGTTCAGTGCCCTAATTAACTAAAAGGTAATTTGGGCATGCCGTGCTCAAATGTACTCGATAGTAATTACTCCAGAGACGTTTCAAGAGCTATTTCAGTGAGATGGTACTTACTGTTATGTAGGTGGAGTCAGTTGGCTGGCTTTGTCTTCTCAAAGGTCTTGTGATATAGCCTCAGACAATTTTAACGATGTCATTACTGCAGTATTCGGTAGATATGAAACTTTTCAGCAGAGGTTTGCGTACTGTCCCCATCTTCAGGGATGAAAATTTGTTCAGTATCGGTCACTTATATTGAAGTGGAATTGTGGTTAATTTGTAAATTGTGTTTGTTGGATGGACAGAAGAACTGAATCTGAGATCATTTATATGCTAAGCTAGAATGCTAGTGACAACTAAACATCACAGTCATGTGGTTAGCACTCCTGCTTTATATTCCGGAGATTCCAGGTTCGAATCTCGGCCTAGAGACCAGCTACGTTGACTGAGGTTTTCAATGGCTTTTCCTAGTTTCTTCAGGCAAATGGTCATGATTGCTTCTTTCTGCATCCTTCCCAATTCATTATCCACTAATTATCCTCTCATTTGACGCTGTGTGTTTTGAGCTACTGAAACTATTGCTGTATAAATGTCAAATAATTAAATTAATAAATAGACACAAGGAGATGGTCATAAACAGGGATTTTTAACAGGAGATGCTGTCCCGTTCTTCGTCGGAGACGCAGAAACTGGAGCTTCTGTCAGCCATGTCAGAGCTGAAGCTGCATCAGGCAGCCCTAGAACGAGACAATCTGGAGCTGCGAGACCGTCTCGGTGAGGAACGGCGGAGAAACAAACCTCCAGTAATACCACGCTCAGCGCTGTTAGCGACATCTACACCAGTCAGCTCTCAGCAAGCTTCACAGGTAGTATGGATACACAGTTATAATCTGTACATGTGACATGGTTTTCAGGTGACAAATTGCACTGATTTACTTACAGGAAGTGAGACACCTCCATACCACTTCCATTTTTGGGTCACAGTGTCTCGTGAATTTTCCAATATTTCAGATAAATTACAGTCTCCCTCTTTGTTATGAAGTGACTGACAGTATACTGTACAGTATTGTACTTTCAGACCATGTAAAATTCTGATTTTCTGATTGGTGGATCTGAATGTGTATGTAGATGATTGTGGAATAACATTTAGAACGAAGCCCTTTTCATGATAATTACCTTTGCCCCAACCAAGAAATGAAAATTAAGGTCATAAGATTTGATTTCCACAATTATGTTAAAAATCCATGAGATATGTAGAAAGTCATTATGTCAAATTGGATCTATACCAAATGAATTCGTTTTTCAGAATGATAATATTTGTACTGAAAATTATATAAACATTTTATTGTACAAGGAATAATTTCTTTTGCCGTGGTTGCTACGAAATAGGAATATATTTACAGCTGTTGGGAGGAGGTTCGCCATCACCTAGTCCAGTTTCGTCACTGTCAGAAGGTAGCCCCCGTCGTCTGGGAAATCATCCAAACAGCGTGGAGGACTTCAAGGACATTCCCGCACCCCGGGTAATGCTACTTGCTTAGCCCTTTGCCACGTTACTCAGTTGTACTAGCATACAAATGTGGATCCTATTTCTTATTTATGGGACAGCGTGGATGTATGCCGTATTACTGATATTTTTGAAGATTAAGACAGTGATATTCTCCAAAATGTCAGAAATTCTGCTTATATCTATGTCGTCTCGTCATCCAAATCTTCTCTAGAAGAATCTTCAAAATGTCAGTGTATGCCTGGTAGTCCATGCAGTATCACAACCCAGAAGAACAACATTGACATTCAAAAATATGATCCACATTAGAATTTAACCACCATGAAAAGTTAAATCTTCATTATCGGATTAAACCCTTCTCATTAACTTTGTTATTATGTTAGGTGTGACAGTGACGTCAAAGTATTAATGATAAAAGGAATCTTGCGAAAGAATTTTCTAGAAAAATAACATTAGTGTGTCTACGTTAGTTAATGAAGTGAGGTAAAAGGGTATAGATATCCCTGTACTTCATTAAGCATAACTTCATAAAAATGTGTGAGGGAGTAAAGGTATAACACCATACATTCTTAACCTTGGCATTGGACACCTTCGTTAAATTGACTCATACGCAGCTGTCAAAACAAATATTGTCAAGTAATTTACAAAACTACAGTCGCTTGTTGTACATAAAAATAATTTTTCTGTAAATATCCTTTTTTCTTAATTTTGTGACTCTGCCTCACGAGATTGTCTTGCATTTGAGTTTGGCTAAGTATAATATGTTTTAAAGAGAAAAGATTTTCCTGTAGAATTGCACTGTATTGAAGTATTTTGTGTTTCTTCCAGACCCCTCCTGCAAATTACAGGCGTAAGGTGGAGCATTATGGCAGCCTTCCACGTCAGCGCATCACAACAAATGGTACAGCTGTCTCGCCCTTGGACGGCATCACTCCCACAGCAAATTCTGCTGGCATGAGGAAGGGCGTTGCCTTTGGTAAAGGTCTTGTTTCTTCATTCCTACCTTTCCAGCATCCACATCATCATGCATCGAGGTTAAAGGTCTCCGGTCCAGACAAGAGTTTCTCCACGCCCAATCTAGGTGACCTGCCAAGGCACCCGCGTGCCGTTGGTCGTACCTTTCGGTGCCAAAAACTGGCACTTGCTGTGCATCTGCATGGCTTTGTATCGTATGGCAAGGCATGCCGTATACCGTCCAGTCCTATTTGTACTTTTCTGATACTTTCGCTACCTATTTGTCGTCACACTCCTTTGCACATTGGACATGTATGAAAATTTGTTGATTTTGGTCATACTCGCATGGCATAAACATGTTTATGATGGAACGTATGCGTTGTTTGCTGGGGTTTCGTATGGGACAGTTCTGTAAAGGTTATGTATGTTTTCAGGCTCTCACTCCGGCAAGTATGAAGATGACTGTCATCTGGGATGTTGCGCCGTGTAGTCTGGTAGGAATTGATGGACGTTTCAGAGGTGCATACTGCCTCCATAATAAGGACAATGAGCATTTTCTTGATGATGGAGGCAGTAAGCACATCTGAAACGTCCGTAAATTCCTACCGGACTACGTGGCACAACTTCTCAGATGACAGTGATTTTCATAGGTTATGTATTGTTTGTCTGATTTTGTTATAAATCCTTGACGCCTTAAATATGGCAGAGTCTGACTGTTCGTTCACCCCTTTTAGGAATGTGCACATTACGCCTCATCTGTTGAAATATGCTCTTGCATGTTTATGTTGGCCCATATCTCAGGTCTGTAAAACTAAAATAGTTTGTTATGTGTGCCCTTAAATGCAATCACACGCTGAAGTTACGTTAAATCAGATCTTCTAGGCTAGTTCAGTGCTTTTTAAGGACATTGCACAAGCTTACATTTAACTCTGATTAGACTTAAAGCATTATCAGTTTTTTTTAAAAGTCTTAAAAATCACTTTATTTTTAATGATGGATCTTTCTTCTTCTTCTTCTTCTTCAGATAAAAAATGAGGAGATGCCTATTCTATCGGATCGAGTAGACTGAGCTATTCCTAGTCTGTGGAATAGTTGAGTCTGCTTTTTGTGCTTTGACACAAGTGTCTCTTTTTATTTATAATTGCTCGAAGAGACTAGTAACAACAGCATTAGCTTGCTAACGCAGTAACAGTTCTGTTACAGTACGAGTTTCCCGTTGTCTACTTTTGTTGCTTTGTTTACTATCGTCTTTGTTTCGCTATTCATTTTCTCTAATTCTTTTGGAATGTTACTCCTTTCTTGTGAACGATGCGTTGTATCAAAAGATACTGAAGGATCCAGATTAAATTTGCTGATAGAAAATTGAAATGTTACGTGTAGAACTAAGTCCATTTTCAAGTTCTTGCTCAAAAATTATTGGACGTTGTTTTTATCTTGAAAGTGTAAAATCTGACCCGGAATATTACGATCAGACACTACACAATTTATTGTCTCGATAAGAGGGGCTTGAGATATGCAAATTACATTTTACTTTATCCCTTCTTATATCTGATTTATAGAGCACATGTAGGAATGTAAATTCTTGAGGCATGTTTTTTGTCTGTAAATCATATCTGTGGTAAGTGGCAGTGTTGTTGTCCAGTTCACGTCATCCACCTTCTCGTGTTATACACCAGCTCTTCATATATCGCACTAGCATACTGCTAAACTATTAACCACAGAAATATAAGTCCAGCTGGCACGCCACTGATACAGGGGTTTGAAATCGCCTTTTTCTTGACCGTAAAGGTTAATTTGCCTGATTCATTACAATAAATGGCCCATGAAGTTGTTCTGTTCGATTACCTGCAGCTGAGACGGAGCGGGTGGTAATAGACGATGTGCCGGCATCTCCGTCAGCGGAAGTTCTGGCAGAAGAAGAGGTAGATGAAACAACCGGTTCCCTTGGACTTTCTCCTCAACCGAGTCCTTCATTCCAGTCTAACAGGGGTAAAGGTATCAAGAAGATATTTGGACGGTGAGTTAATCTTTGTTAATTATTGTATGTTTTTATTTTTTTATCTTGACATTTTTTACTCAGTTTTCTTTAATACAGCCTATATTTTCCTTATGCAAATGGAATGTGCCTGTACTTGCTAAAAGGAGTGTAATTCATTCTTTGTATCTGTGTCCGCTAAGAATGTTTATACAAATTTCCTGTTATCCATAGTTTGCAAGTTCCAGCTAACTAAAATATGGCACGACTAAGAAGCCTTAAGCGCGTGAATCCTAACGAACGTGCGAACACGTCTTGACGGAAACATGTCTTCGTTGCAGCGTGAAGCGTAGTGGTTCTGGTAATTTGGATGACGTCCCGGGGGAAGGAGAGTTCCGCCGGGGTGGAGTGAGGGCCACGGCAGGACCAAGACTTGGTTGGACCAATCAGCCATTTATAAAACAAAAGTAGGTTCAGTTTATGTGAAGATGGCCCTTTTGTTTCCGTACCCACGGCTACAGATATTGCAAATACTCACTGACCACTTTAGATTTTGGCTCTCATGGCAGCGTTGATTGCCACGGGACCCTCTCTCCATAGTAGTTAAATTCTCCAAAGATGAACTTCCTGCCTATATGAAGATGGCTGTCAACTGAGTTGTGTCGTGTAATCCGGTAGAAGTGTACCGATGTTTCAGAGGCTGCAAGTACCTCTAAAATGTCAGCAAGCCTGTACCAGATTACATTACGGTGCAACCCAGAAGACAGCCATCTTCATACTCACCGCTGTGATAACCTCGATTCCTACCCATGTATTTATATGTATATACTTTTTGATTAAACTAATGCCTTTCTGTGTGTAGCATTTTAAAATGGTACTGTAGTTTAATATTGGTTAAGATCTGGTGAATGTTGCAGGCCAGATCAGCCCTTTGCTGAATGGGACAGTGAAGCCATCTCTGGATGGTTGCAAGAACTGGGATTAGATTGCTACGCAGGCGACACGAAACGGTGGGTAAAGAGTGGTGCTCAGCTGCTGCAAGCTTCAAATCATGAGCTTGAAAAGGAACTGGGAATTAAGGTAAAAAAGCCTACATATATACAGGTAGCCCTCGATTTGCGCCGATTTTGAAACCAGCAACATTTATTTTGTGCAAGAAAAAGGACTTTTTGTTTTCACTATAATCCAGATGGCGTAGTGCTAAACCGTTAACCCCAGAGTTCTGTTTCCACGCAATAGCTCCATAGTTTTAGAGGTTTAAATCCCCTGTTTCTGTACGGTAAATCTTAACATTTCCCGCAGAATCCGATCCACCGGAAGAAACTTCACTTGGCATTGCTGTCACAGCAAGAGGCAGTGTTAACGCTCGACCCTTATCTTATCCCGGCTGGAGAACTGGATACAGCGTGGGTGTTGCGATGGCTGGATGATGCAGGTTTACCACAACACAAAGAGACATTCCTAGCTGCCCGAGTTGATGGAAGAGTACTTCATCGTCTGACTATGGATGAACTGGCAATACTGCATGTTACATCTCATCTTCACATTGCCAGCCTTAGAAGAGGAATTCAGGTACAGAAATAATTAAAGAAATTTCTTTAAAAAATTTATAAAACTATTCCTTATAATATCCGATCAGTTCTTGAAGCAGTATGCTTTTGCGTTTAGAAGAGGAATTCAGGTACAGAAATAATAAAAGAAATTTCTTCAAAAAATGTATAAAACTATTCCTTGTAATATCCGATCAGTTCTTGCCTGTTTATACCATGTAATAACTATTTTGGGCATATAAATTGAAGAAACTGAAGAAACAAAAATATTTTATATATTAATGTTCTAATACATTTATCATATATTGTGTGATGATGATGGGTATTTATGCTGTATTATTTTTTTATATAACTGAACCTCATCCAATTTTACATAAAATTCAAGGTACTGAGGAATAACAAGTTTGAGCCGAACTGTTTAAAGCGACGATCTCTACCTGATGACCCATCGCAACCAACGGCACAGGATGTAGCTCTGTGGACAAACCATCGTGTCATGGAGTGGTTGCGGATTGTGGACCTGGCAGAATATGCCCCTAACCTTCGAGGCTCGGGTACTGTTTCCATTTACAATTTGTTTTTAAGTATCCATTAGATTGTTACATTCCTTTACTTTGATGCTTCTCAACAACTTAGCGTCCATTGCTTAGCGTTCTTCACAGATAACTCTGATGGAAGAAATGAATAACTGTGGTTTCGGCTGTTACGTATTTAATAAGTCTCAAATACAGGAATTGGCCGTTATAATGGACATTCAGTGATTAAATTAGTGCTCATGTTTTTTTTGTGCAGGGGTTCATGGAGGCCTCATGGTTCATGAGCCACGTTTCACGGCCGAGTTGATGGCCAGTTTGCTGTCAATACCGCCGAGTAAAACATTATTGCGTCGCCACCTAAACACGCACTTCAAAGAACTGCTAGGACGTGACTGTATCCAGGAGAAACGTGAAGCAGAGGCCACTTTAGGATATGTTCCTCTTTCTGCCACTACTAAAGTTAAAGTAAGTACTGTACAGCATGATTTATAAAATTTGTACAGAATGTTCCATTTGTTACAAATACTTCCTGTGCCCCAAAATATTGTTATTCTCTTGTTTGGTACTTTCTTGTCAGGATATGCATTGCCGAGTCTTTGCCGACAGCAGCAAATGATTTCAGGGTGAACTTTGTTTGAGAATTCTCATGTGTTTTGCTTGTGAATATGCCACGTTTGCACTCGCGCAATTTTTTTGCCCTCGAGACATAGGCGGCAGCCTAACTTCAAGGGTGAGCTTGACTCAGGTGATTTTAAGAAAAGTTAACTTCATAAATTTTCTGTACAGGTCACAAAGAAGAGCCAGTTCATACTGAAGCGTAAGAAGTCAAGGTCAGAATTGGATTTTGGGGACTTGGTTTGTCCTCTGGATCCCAACAAGTCAGGTGAAACACTGCCCCCCGGTGATGGCGTAAGTCCAACTAACCTAACCGTACTGACCTAGCTAACATTAACATTACTCTGCTGCTGGCAAATTGTATAAAGGAACAAAATTCGTGAACAAGGCCTTTGTTTCTTTGCATACTCTGAAATTATTTTATTTGACGGTGATGCATTGTGTATCGTACATTGCTCATTCTCTAGAAGACTATATTATACTGTGACATAATGATATTACAATTTTTTTATATTCACAGGAAATGTATTTGCTCACCGTGTCTCTTTAAAATGTTTGTAGAGGATTCTAAAATTGTCAGAGATTTGTTTTACTGTAATTGCATTGTACGAGGGCGTTTCAAAAAGTAACAGCAAATTGACAATATTTCACGAAACGAATACCCCAGGCATTTCAAACTCCCGCGCAGGGAAGATGCATTCTTAGAGAAGGTTTTGACACCGCCCGATAGATGGTGTGAACGAGTGGGTATATGTGTTTAAAAATGGGCGAACATCAATCCGCGATGACCGACGTTCCGGTCGTCCATGATAACGCACGCCCTCACACGGCTGCTGCAACTCTTGACACAATTCGGAGATTGAGATTTCAGATCTTACAGCATCCCCCATACAGCCCTGACCTTGCTCCCTCTGATTATCATGTGTTTGGACCCCTGAAGGATGCTTTGATTTGGGAATGATGATGAGGTCAAAGGAGCGGTGCATTCCTGGCTGAAGGCACAACCAAAAACATTTTTTTCTGATGGAATAAAGAAGTTGGTGCAACAGTGTGAGAAGAGTATTGAAAACGAGGGTGATTATGTAGAAAAATGACATATCATTTGTGTCTCTAATTAAATTATATATCTCAAAATATTTAATTTGCTGTTACTTTCTGAAACGCCTTCGTATTTTCTGATATTCTTCAGTCTGAGAGCCATGAAAATACAGTTCATCAGCTAGCACCACTGGTATGTTAACTGGACACATTTTGATAAAATTTATGTTGTTGAAACTAAGACCTCCAGTTCTTTTTAGCGCAAGATCTAAAATACTTACAAGTAGTGAGTGGTGTGATGAATTGGCTGTGTCAACAACGAGGAGAATATTAATATACTAATACGTACGTTTATGCTTATAAGTAACATAAAGAGTGACCATAAATTAAAGTACATTTTAAAAGTCGTGTAACTTTTTATTCGTGCCGCGCGTTGGAAAACTAATCGTTTCACAGCATTGGCCTGCATTCACATCACCTATGGAAGCCACAGTAAGCATCCGTGAGCGGAGACTTGAATGCTGGATCATTGTTAAAGTGCGATTTATTTTCCAGTACGCGACCTGTTTAAAATGTTACGACCTGTTTAAAATGTTACGATCTTTTAAATTGTGATTCATATTGTGGTCACTCCGCTTATAATTTCTGTGCTGTGATCATCTAGGAGTTTTACTAACCATGCATAATAACTGTTCTAATTTCAAACTAAATTCCCTTTGTGTTCGTCCATATAACAGAGGATTGAATGACTTAAGATTAGAGTTTCCGAAGAAAAATGTTCTTGAAATAAAATCAGTATTGTCAACCTTAAATCCTAATAACCATGATGGTTGTAAATGACATAACTCGTAACTCAAACTTCATGCTGGGCACACAGTGAATACTTATTAGATATCATTTATACTTGCGATGAAATACCGAATAACTAACAACTTTTTATAATTGTTTAGATGACTCAGACGGAGGCACGACATCCAAGAGCCGTGGCTGCCTGTCGTGAAGCTGCTATCAGTTCACCAGTGGTAAGATAACGTACGCCGTTCATAAAATTAAAAACAGCAAAATGTGACTGGCCGTTTTGAAAATATCGGAATTGTTCGAGGCTTACGAGAGAAGTTTACGCGCACTGTTATGGCAAAATTGCCAAGAGCAGTAGCAGTCTTGAAGACGCCTGTTTTCTGGGGTGTCGCACCATGTAGTGTGATGGAATTACAGCTGATTTAGGGCCTTCATTCCAAACACTGAAGAAGTTTTATATTTGTCTGTTTATTTGCATGAATGAAATCTCAAGATAGTTACGGTAGATTGAAAGAGTTGCAGTTTTAGAATTGGAGTCGATGTGGTTAAGAAATTGTTTGAAAATTGGAAGTACTTGTTGCAGGATAGGCTGATATCTGAGTGCAAATTTCCAGAGAGGACCAGCGATGTCTGAAAACTAACCAGAAGACGAGAACAGAGCTGATTTACAGCGCAGGAATTCACGAAGTAGACTGCGTTACATTTAAGTGAAACAGCTGTGCCGGACACTTTTGTTGAAGCGGCGTACCCGTCTGTCTGCACGTGTAATGGATTGTGGTGTTGGTCATTGTATACAGTTACAGTGGGCAGGTACAGTATACATGATAGCCGCATATTTTGAAGATGTTCTTCAAAGTAAAAAAGATATAAAATAAGTGGCTTTCGTGGAAATCCCATGTCAACAGATTTCTTCATGGTTGTGATGCCGTGTGGACTCGTAGGTAGGTAAACAGCCTCCTCCGGACTGAAGATGGAGGCAGTATTTTTCTCCAAAATGTTGGTATCTACCTACAAGTTCACATGGCATTGCAACCCAAAAGAATGATATTGACATCTTTGCCGCCTTTTATATTTTCACCACTAATATTTATATTAATAATGAGAGAAAATGCTTTTATTATTCCTTTGGTGTATTACCGACACTCACGGACTGCTACAGTCTCGTTTGGTTGATTCCGTGATCTCTCACTAATTTTTCTATGTCTTAGTGACCGTGCGAATGTCAGTCGGACACGGATATTCCGTTAAAATGCACTCGTCGAATGTAATGAGAATAGTGAGATCCTCTGGAATTCAATCATACATACTACAGTATTTTTTCTTAACTTTGGACACCGGTTCATTTCTGAGTTCTAAAAATCTTTGCGTGTAAAGTTTGTAATCTGCGGCAGTGTTCTGAGCTTCTGACGTGTTCACGACACAGCATTCTCAAAAGATTAGTCTTCCTGTTGAAGTCATTCCGCATCCACGGATAGAAATTGAATGTACCACGCCGAATGTCACTGCCAAGTAGTTAGCAATTCTGCTTTTTATTTGGGAGGAGAAAAGATTTTGTACTGAATGACAGCGAGCGTTCTCGGAATTTAATCTACTCTTGATTTCATCATGATCGTCTTTCAGACTTGTTAGTGTCATCCCCAAGTACTTGAATTTTGTCACATTTTCGAACAATTTATTAGATATTCTCATATTCTGATTCTGTCCAGAATTTTGTTGCCGAGACATGATCATATACTTTGTCTCCTCTCCATTTATCTCGAAACCGTGTTTCCCTAAAATTCATTTTAATTACATCCACTCATTTATGCCTAGGTCCGCTGAATGATCTCTTCCCTCCATGCTTCGAAAGCAACATTTTGTGCACTGTTCTCATATCCATGCATGCTTCATGTGCGACCCATCCACAGTATAGTCAACTCATAGCATGCAAGCCCATTTCTAGTTCTATCATGATTCAAGGGATTTGTTGTGATTGAAGCGGATGTAAAATGAGTTTTCTCTTTGAAATTTTTGCTGAAGGTGTCCCACGTTTGTTGACGGCTACCATTCAAGCAGATAAGCAGTGCCTGTGACGTCTGTTTTTGTTAGTCACGTCCATGTCGGACACTTAAATATGAATGTCAGAATACTGAAAAATCAAGACAATAAAATTATTTCTTAACATTCACCATTTCACTGGTTACTGATGATAATTCGTAGGTTAGGTTGGGTTAGGTTATTTTGTGAATGAGCTGGTGTCTGTAGTTAAGAAAACTTATGTTTATCAGGTTACCAAAATGCAGATGTTCATCTTTTTATATGGAGTCATATGTAATATATTTCCTTATATTCCTGCTTATTCCATCCCAATGTTGGATTTTATTATTTGGATTGTAAAAAATCTGAATTTGATTCCGTGGATTCCTTTTTAAGAGAGAATTACATTATTTAGTACTAATGTATTTGCTCAAATAATGACCACGCATATATTTCACAAAGGCGGTATTCTGATAGTTGTTTGTCGGTATTAACTAATTATATTTAAACGACGACGCTTTTCTAGTTCAGAACTTCTCCACTTCAAAACTTAAGGGGACTTGTTTTAACTATTCGTAGCTAAGATTGATATATAAAATGAAGCGTAATACTTAAAATGTTACAATCAAGTATACTCGTAAAAATTAACATTTTTGTTTGTTTTGTTGGTACGTAAATCCGAGTGGTGGTGGTGGTCGTTAATGCGCATTAGCCCGTAGTACTAAATGGCAGTCTAGAGCCTTTTACGGCCACCCTCAGTGCTGCTACAAGCACGGACGTCTCCCGGTCTTCGTCGTGTTTCATCCCTATCGTCCCTACGTGTCTTCCAGTGGAACGGTGGTGCTGTAAATCGCGGAAGTTACTAAACTCAAACACAACATTTTGAGATTGGTATTAGTGCATTTTTGGTACAGATTTTTACTGCCGTCTTGAAAATTTTAAATTTAATTCGTTTCATATTTGATATTCTGAAAGTTGGAGATCTTAGTGAATATCTGTCAGATTACGTACGAGGAGGAGGAGATTTCAAGAGAGAATTTAGACACTGAAGTAGATACATTAATATTATGACTGTATATGAAATTTATATTTTATATCCTATTGTGTACTTGTACTCATTTGCTTATCCTGGGACCAAACCGTAAGCAACACGGCTCAACATTTTGTACCAGATGTGGTTCGGAGTTAGAAAGAAACGCAGTACGGCAGATTTTAATCCGGAGAATATTGACTGATAATACTTCCATAGCTGGACCATAAACCACGTGGTTAATATCAGAATTATTTCTGAATACGATGTTATATTTTTCATTTTCGGTAATATTTTACAGGAACTTTAATTAAAATCAAAACTTTGTGAGCCAGAGGCGAGGGCTTTGCTGTGGCTCGGACACCTAAGTTTTGAAGAGTATCAGATCAAGATTATGGTGACGTTTGGAATTGGTAAAGAGTGCTTACGAACACCCAACAACATGTATCTTACTCCCTCGCCCATTTTCTCGTAGCTCGACTTAGATCATCAAATTCTGTTACCCAAACTCAACGCCCGCTGTACATAAATGTTGCTTGTAATCGGAACGCATTGTTCTTATCGGAATCACGTTTGTCAGTGTGAAAGGAAGTGCCGATGTCGAAGACCTTGTTTTCCAGATAGCGTTTGGAACGAGTTTGACGTATACGTTACACTTTGCACTTCTTTCCAAGATGTTTGAACTGTTTACCCCTTAAATTGTATTATATGAAGTAAGATCGTAACCGTGTCCCACACTTCAGAATTATTAACTTTTTTTATGTACCAATTTGGCAGTGGTTCTTTACCATTTGGAAACTGCAGGTCCTTTTGAAGGGTCGCAGATTTAGACAGAGGCCCTTGCCCTCGATACTATTGCTCAGAACTTGAAGCTGATACTTGTGAACAATCATATGATCGATCTGGTCGAGAACCACTGCCACGATTTTACCCACTTTAACAGGCGTGAGCAGGCAGAAGTAACCGAAGAAATTTGCGTTCCGTTGGGTGGATTTTACTTCGCCGTGTGTGTGTGTACTGCGACACTTGCAGTAATCCCTATAAACATAGTTGCCTTTATTGAATTTCTAAACCTAAATGTAGTACGTAGTTTAAATCGGAAATATTTATCACAGTCATGTTTGTGTGATTTGGTATTATGAAGTATTAATAATCGTATATCGAAACGAGCTCAGTAAAGAGCGTTCATATAGTGAATATTGTACAGTTTTCATAAAATGACAATAATGACATGACTAAATGTTGTGTATGTACAAATATTTTACCATTGTAATACAGATTTTGTGAATTGGTTGATTCAAAACATTTAACCAAGTATTTTGCTCCGAGATCCATTATATAAATAACTCGTTATTATGTTTGAAAATTCTGAAGATCTTTGTACCGTAAATTTGTATTATGTGAGGTTAGGTTAGGTTTAATTCCTTTTAATCGTGGTGTTTTACATCATATTTTGTAAAATTAATTAACTTAAATATAAAAATAAGAAATTATATTGTAATATATTGCTCAATTCATATATTTCTTTGTGAGTAACAATACAAAACCTGTTCTTCTTAAAGGCTTCTATTATTGACATTTCAGTATTTTAGGTTAAGTACCAATGATTTTCTGTGTCGTTTTTCGTGAGTGAAGCGCAGATGAGTACCAATGATTTTCTGTGTCGTTTTTTTGAGTGAAGCGTAGATTTAATATAATTCTTTCGAATTTCGAAGAAGGCAGATTCATCTGTGTCCCTACATTCAATTATCTGGATGTAGTACGTCCTAAATCAGTGTATAACCTCAACTGTTCCATCTGTGACCCAGAAGTAGAGTGGTCCTAAGTGTTGAAAAAGTTAGTACGAAGGCAGAACAAATGCAGCAATGCACATTTTCTGAAGCGTGCTGTGGCCCTCTGGTCTATTAATATCCCAGAATTTACTTGGAGAGGCTGAATAAAACCATGCAGTGCCTACTACCAATCGAGATCTGCCATGAAGCTAACCTTACATGTTGGGTAAGTAAACAGATTTCTTACAGAAGGCGACTATGTTCTTGGTTTTCGCGCTGTGTAGTTTCATACTCGCCACTTTGAAAACCTCATTTCATCATATAAATGACATTTAAAAAAACAGACGTCCGTGGGGTCGGTTCTTTGTTGTTGGTATCCGGAATTGTAGACTAGAAATAATTGGGTTAGTACGCTTTTGCACGAATCGATCACGTGGTTAGTACGCTTTTGCACGAATCGATCCAAGCGTGCGCGCGCTCATTCTGTACGGTTGACGGAGTTTATATAAATCCGGTGGGAGAAGCAGGCACGGAAATTGGAAGAGCCCAGTCGCAATTCTGGAGCAAATATCAAGTCGAAGAGGAATGTAATTGGAAAGTTAAAAAAGATATTTGATTGCTTTCCTTCATACGAAGTGTGAGCGGATTTGCAGACGCGCGTCAACGCGATCTCTTGATAAAACTTGCAAATATTTTTCCTACTGGGCCTTGTATTTTCTTCCTTTAAAAAAACAAGTTTCAAAACGAACCGGAGTTTGGGCATCAATAAAGACATCGACGTAAGGTCACCATTTCGAACCCGTGCTTAAGTACGAAATATAAAGACTGGCGTTTTCAGATCAGATTCTTCAACTAATTAGGATTTGAGGTTCTCAAAGCCGCGAGTATGAAGATGGATGTCTTGTGGGTTGTAGCTTAAAGTAGTCCGGTTTGAGTTTATTGACGATTCAAAGGTACTTGTAGCCTCTGAAACGTCGGTAATATTCGCATGTTTAAGTACGCTGTGTTATTCATTACAAGTTTTTTTTAAATTCTATTTCACATCGCGTATAAAAGTATGACTCACTGACAACATTTAAGTCATATAATCTTGGTATTTTAAGAGAGATCTTATTTTCGGATCTTCTTGTGATCGTGTCCGTCTGCTGCAGACTATGAAAAACGCGAAAATAGGACGTGACAGCAGGAAATGTGGTATGACAAAGGGGATTACACTGCAACGAGACACAAAAGGAAGGTTGAAAATCTGAGTCGCATCCAAACGTAAATACATTTATATGACTTTTTCGTGGATAACGCGTGTTACCGAGATGATCCTCAAAATTAAAAAAAAAATATATCATGGATCTTGTATATAATATTTGGTCTAAAAAGTTTTTCTTTTAATGAAATGTTGCCAATTAACATGCCAACAGATTCTTTCACGGCGTTGAAAATCATGATGTGGGTTGTCACGTGACTGTTCTAGGCATCTCTGTGCCTAATTTTCTAAATAGAAGAGGCAATCATTATCCCTGAGTTGTCCCTAACCTACGATACGCCTTTCGGGTGAAAGGCGTCGTTATCATTTTTGACACCCCTGTGCTAATTTTCGAAATTAAAAAGATTCGGTGTTGTCTCTCCCAGGGGAATTTATTTATTTTGCGTTTATCTGTTGTTTCACGACGTTCAGTTTTGAAATAACAAAGAGTGGAACGGGCAAACACATTTCTTAAGGCCTATGGTTTCTACCCCATTAAATTCTGAGGATCTGAGTCGTATTTATTTTCTCGTACTGATCAATGTATAAGACAGAAATCGTTATCGTCCCGACATACGTTGGGTATCGAATTTCACTCGTTCCCGTAATTAGATTGTCCCTTACGTTTTCGTACGTGAAGAGATATAAGACGCGAAATATCATGTTACCTATTACTACCCTGTTAGAGCAGATCCGGAGCCATAGTTAGATTTTCTCAATGCACCGATGGGTAACTTAGATGCAGAAGACGAGTCATAAATGGACTAATTTAGCGCCAGATAATATAAGTTCCCGTCTACAAAGTCTGCTTTTGTATCCGTGGTCTAGGCAACACGGAGTTTTCCTCCGTGGCATCCCAACAATTACTCCATTCACACACAGAAGAAGGCAATGGCAAACCACTTCTGGATCATCTGCCAAGAACGTATATGAACAGGTCCCAGTCCGAGAAAAGGAGGGAAGGATCCGGTTCATATGG